TTTTTTTTTACTTTGTGGAGATCAAATATTTGAACTGAGAGTGCTTTCGGCTTTACACTCTTTTCAAACAAAGTATCTATTGAAATATGGAAGCATGATTTGGAATATGATCACAAAATTACCGGAAAATATAACCAAGCCGTCAGCAGACACCCTCGCAAGCTCCGGAACAGTCTTGTTGAGATACTTGGGCGACAAGTAATCTAATGCATCTGAGACTATGACGAGTGAGAAAGATTTAGGCCTGTACGGAAGAGGAAACTTGATATCAGCCACACGCACGACGCCTTTGTGCACTAGGCTCTTGCAGTTTCTATCGGGTTCGTCCAGCTCATATGGCTCTACACCCCAAGCTTCTGTATCCTCTTCTTTTAGTAGCTGAGAGACTACTGAGCAGGTATCGGGCCCCACATGCAACACTTTACGCATACTGTCGCCATATGCTTTCTTTAGAATAGGTACTACTCTCTGAACTTCTTGAGTACATGAAACACCACCTGCATATAATACATGGTAACGTATTACACACAATAAGTTTCCTATATGATAAGAAGAAAAAGAAGCGGGTGAAGATGATGTGGCAATGGCAGGCAGTGGGAGCCACCCTGCACTCAGTCTCCCATGCCATCTTCATCCAAGATTTAAAACAAAGTAAAAATTAATAATATTAAAAAAAGAATGAAACTTAGTTAGAAGAAAGCTGCAGTCTATCCGTCTTCATTCAAGAAAAGCACAAAATTAAAGAAATAAAGAAAACAGTGAACTTATAAGATTTTTCTTTTTCTTTTCTTGGAAAAGATTCCTCTAATGCAATGTCTTTGCCGAGAGCATATTAAACTTATATAAAGATAAAATGCATGTATTAACAAAAAGAATTGTACTTATATGATTTTTCCTAGGAAAATATTTTCTCGGCGCACCCTACTTTATCATCTTAGCTGCTGCCATTTGGTGGCTAAAGTGGTAAATGTCAGATACAAACATCTTATTTGTTATTTGAGATTATTAAACAAAACAAGTGGAAAGTATACAATCATAAAATAGGTAACGCCAGAACAGATACATTTGTTTCTGTCCATATCTACCAGGGAACAGATTATATCTAGTATTGATGCCATCGTCTTGTACTGGAAAGAATTTATTGGTCCTGTAAGCTATAACAAAGGATGGGAATAAACTAATATGGACTACTTTTAATTCATAAGGAATTACCATCAAGTCTATTTAAAGCGCCAATGTCGCCACTCCTGCCACCTGTTGGCAAACAATTTAAAAGTCAGAATAATTGCAAATGACGGAATTAACAAGAAAATTGCCTTGCCCATTATTTCAAAGCTTCCAACAAATTATTTAGGACATACCGACATATAAGTGTGTGAATTATATGTCCAAAAACGTAACACACACAAACCTGAGCCATGATACACATAACCAACAATCAGCAGAGCTCCCTGGTAAAATGGAAACACAAATAAGTTAATGTTTGCATACTAATAATAACAATATAACAGTTTGCTGATTATGAATTCAAAGTAGGGAAGCATACTCTTCAATGTTAGTTATTAACAGGCTCATTACCAGACATATCTGTACAGGAGGAGGGACACATTTCTTTCTCATGATTGTGCAGTATGTAAGACAGAAAGGAAAGCAGGTATGCAAGTGCAGTGCATGCTTGAGTGTGTTTTCGTGTAATGTCCGTGAATAATGTGTCCATGCATATGCTCATGCACTTATGTATATCTGCATATTTGTGGTAGGACGTGAAATAAATGCAGCCAAGCCTTACCACAACAAAAAGGCCTATAGACAATAGTGGAGATGGATGGGATTTCGAGTGCAATGAACCCACAAAAGGAAGGCTCCCACTGTCTGCAAGGCGGCGACCAGCTGTAGGTCTTCTTGACATCGTCTTATAGTTCAAAAAGAACCTACCACCGACAAGACTATGTGAAGCCACAAAATATATAAAATCCAACAGATAGGATAGCTTATCTTTTACAAGCATATAATAACATCTGCTAATAATCTATAAGAATCGTCAGCTTCACCATGACTTTAACCGATCAGAAATTCAGAATAACTAAACTGCGTGTGGAGCCATTTATGCTAAAAGTAGAAAAATAAAATAAATGTGTATTGAATCAAAGAACTCCAAGAAACATCACATCCATGATCTACGGCTTATCCTACATTACCAACAGATCAGCGTGTTGATATCAAAAGTACGACAGCTACATGAGCAAAGGCAAGTTACAACTAAAGTTTTCGCCTTTTTCCCACTGCGTTTTGCCTCATCCAAGAAGATCAACGAGCAATATATTATAATATATAACTAAACTATATTAGCCAGACATTTACAAGATCAAATAAGCCATAACCTGTCCAAAATACATAAAAATTAAAAGGGAAAAAGGAGTGAGTGCGTGGGAAAGAGTAACAAGATATCAGCTACTACAAGCTCCAAAATGGGCGTAGAACCATACACATTCCTAATACAGCAGCAGAATACAGAACGTCTCAAACTAACGGAATAAACACACCATCAAGAGCTGATTTTTCATTGAAATCACGATTAAAACGAACGAATCAGTGATCCATTATAAATGAGCGGGCGAAAAATCACAACACGAACAACAAATTGAGAAATGAAAATTTGAGAAGCTTACCTGAATTGAAAAGGCTTGAAGCGGATCTGGATCTGCTGTTCTTTCTTGCTTAACCTTTGAGCTCGGGGGACACAAAGAAGCCAAGCGCTTTCAGATTTATGTGAGTGGGCAAATTGTTTTCATTCATCTATTAGTTTGTTATTTTTATTTATGTCATTTTCAGTAAATTTCATGAATATAATTAAGTGGAAATGTCAGGTAGAACCATTTCGTCGGGTTTGTAACCGTTAGATCATCATACAATCGTCGAGGATAATTGATCTAACAGTTACAAACTCTGACGGAATAGTTCCGTAACGGGACGTAGCATCTCCCTATAATTAAGTTCGTGTTTGCCTTTATTGCTTTTATTTACTTTAAATCAGTCGTTATTACATGTGCACGGGTCTTAAAAAAAAATTAACATAAGCTTTTATATAAAGATAACAACTAAAATAAAAAAATATTTAACAATATGTATCACATTTATAATTGAATTGTTGAATTAACTAAATAAGTTATTTGAGAACTATTACATCTTAACTTAATTTTTAGATTTTAGTAAAAGAATAAATATAAATGTGGAACTTGCACTATATTGATGAGAATTGTTGTATGAATCTAGTGAATAATATAATTTGAGCATTATAATAATAATTATTATGGTACGGCCAAAAAAAATGGGCAATGTAAATCTTATATACAATGTAATTTAATCTTTTATAGGTTTCCTGCCAGAAAATCGTAGAGGTCAGTTTCTAATGTAATATTAAAAAATGAATGTCGGTTGTAGTTTCAAATGGAGGATATTACGTGATTGTGTTTATCGTCTGGTTGGTACGTTTATCATTCTCTATTGGTGGCTCAAAGAGGTGGATTAAAATTAAATAATTTGACATCTCGGTATATTCAAAATCTCTCATTTGGATTTTCGTGTGGTGAGCAAGCTACTTAAATCTAAGTATTGTTATTGGTTGGATGTTCGACTAGCGGTGACTATCGTTTTTCTTGTAGAAAATGTGGAATTTGTTTGAATTGATTACTCATATTTTTTTTTTTATAGAAAGCATATCATTGCTCGAGCATGTCTTAAATCAAGGAGATGGTGGTGTTCGTATTTTATCTCTCGTTTTTCTTGCGTGGAGAATGACAAAATAGATTATGTGAATATAATGTGGCCATGATATCTCTTTGAATTCTTGTCGAGGAAAATCCCTGAGCATTGGGACCGAACATTTATATAAACTCTTTGGCAAGGTAATTCGATCCTCGATGAATTTTGTAGACAAACCACGAAGATACATTGGGTGATCGGGTCTTGAAAACCTACGTGGACAACTCATGCCGAAACAACGAAATGACTCGAGTATTGAAAAGCTATTGCGGACGAGTCATTGAGTTTTGAGGACAAAATGCGAGCATGAATCCATCAAAGTGTGGTGATAATGGGGGGCAAGTTTGATGGTGCCAATCGCCGGTGACAGTCTCAAAGGCAGAAATCATTCACTTTTGAAGAGGTAGAATAATTTAAAGTGGTATTCTCGACCTTCAAGTATAAAACTAATTCCAACTCTTGTCGGCGGTCAAGTTTGATTGACACAATTTACTGAACATTGAGTCTCTTAGCATTGTTTTTTTGAGAAATGTTCATTGTTTGAATATCTTAGGCAAAGTGTTACTGAGATTGTAGTGTATATGGATATGTTTAGAATTATTATTTGAGTGACTAACAAAATGCAGAAAATGAGGTTTACGTGGAGCCTTGAACAAAAAACTTGGCATGACTAAGGCCTTCGGGCTGGCCGCTCTCGAGTCATCATGTATAACCAAGAAAGGGAGGTAAAAAAATATGTTTGATTCTTTTATCTTGGTTCGTTAATTATGCATTCGGTAACATTAATGGAAATGATCAATCACTATCCATCTTGTTGTGTTCGGTGTGTATCTATTTGTCTTCATTGGCAGGTCGAAATGTTTGAGTTGTTCAAAAGAAAAAAAAAATCCCTTATGACTAAGGCCTTCGAGCTGGGTGGTCGCTTGTTTCTGGAACAATCTTTTCGAATTGAGCAAGTGCCTGAAGAAAAAATTCCACCGTGACTAAGGCCTTCGGCCTATATGGTCTTCTGGTCGAACGGTCCCATAAGTGGGCTGAGCAGACGTTAATTGGCGGTCCCGAGGCTTAAAAATTCACCATGACTAAGGCCTTCGGGCTAGGTCATCATCTGTTCGAACGGTCCAATGAGCAGGCGGGCAGACGCTAATGGGTGGCCCTGAGGCCTAAAAATCCACCATGACTAAGGACTTCAGGCTGAGTGGTGGATCCTAGTTTTGGGTCGTTGGAGATAGGGAGGACGGAGACCTCAGAGGCATGTTGATGGCTTTTATTTCGTTTGGATTATAAATTTATTTTTTGACCTCAGTGACATGTCGATGGAGTTCATTTAGTGCAATTCACGGAGTTTATTTGTAAACTTCGATGGCAAGTCGATGGTTTATTACATGGTTTGGCCTTGTCGAATGTATCTTTCGACCTCAATGGCAGGTCAATGGAGTTCACTTAGTGCAATTCACTGAGTTTATTTGCAAACCTCGGTGGCAGGTCGATGGTTTATTACTTGGTTTCGCCTTGTTGAATGTGTCTTTCGAACTCAATGGCAGGTCGATGGAGTTCACTTGGTGCAATTAACGGAGTTTATTTGCAGACCTAGGTGGCATGTCGATGGTTTATTACTTGGTTTGGTCTTGTCGAATTTGTTTTTTATCTCAGTGGTAGGTCGATGGAGTTCACTTGGTACAACTCACGGGGTTTATTTGCGGACCTCAGTGGCAGGTCAATGGTTTATCACTTGGTTTGACCTTGTCGAGTTTGTTTTTTGACCTTAATGATAGTTCGATAGAGTTAACTTGGTGCAATTCACATAGTGTATTTGCAGACATTGATAGCAGGTCGATGGTTTATTACTTGGTTTGACCTTGCCAAATTTGTTTTTTAACCTCAGTGGCAGGTTGATGGAGTTCACTTGGGGCAGTTCACGGGGCGTATTCACAGACCTCGGTGGAAGAGGTTTTTCCTTGGTGTGATTTATAGATTTATTTGTAGGCCTCGGTGGCAGAGCTCAAAAGCAGGTCGAGCACTTTCAGTCGTCGGAGGTCGGCCAAAATTGGTCAAGAAAGTAGAAACGACAAGCGCATTAAATGTGATACGATATGGTTGACTTTCAAACTTTGAACTGAGGACCAACATGACGAGGTGGTCGAAAAGGTTTATCTTTGAGCGAAGAGAGCTCGAACATGGTGGTCGAAAAACAGTAGACGTGAGTTCAAATTTTTAAATTCAAGATTCAAGGAGAGGTTCAAAAAATCTATCAAAGTATCATGGAAGTCCAAGTAAGCAGTTCGATAGATATCAAAGGAAGGTCGATATTGCAAAATGAGGAGCAAAGGGATTTACTATAGGAACCAAGGTTCGACCTGAATGTGGCGTCAGTCATATGTTTTCAACCTCAGTGGTAGGTCAATCAATTCTCGATCTCATCAACGATCATTCAGTTTTTGACCTCAATGGCATCAGGTCATTCGGGTTTCGACCTCAGTGGTAGGTCAATCGATTCTCGACCTCATCGACGGTCATTTAGTTCTCGACCTCAGTGGCATCGGGTCATTTGCTTTTCGACCTCAGTGGTAAGTCATTCGATTCTCGACCTAGCAGCGCCATGTCATTCGATTTTCGATATCAGTGGTAGGTCATTCTGTTCTCAACCTTAGTGGCGCGGGTCATTCGGTTTTCGACCTCAACGGTAAGTCATTCGGTTATCAACCTCATCGGAGGTCATTTAGTTCTTGACCTCAATGGCGTCGGGTCATTAGGTTTTCGACCTCAGTGGTAGGTTATTCGGTTTTTGACTTCATCAACATGTCATTCAATTTTCGACCTTAGTGGTAGGTCATTCGGTTCTCGACCTCAGTGGTGTCGGGTCATTCGGTATTCGACCTCAGTGGTAAGTCATTCTGTTCTCGACCTCATCAGCGGTCATTAAGTTCATGACCTCAATGGCATCGAGTCATTTGGTTTTTTACCTCAATGCTAGGTCATTCGGTTCTCGACCTTAGTGGCGTCGGGTCATTTGGTTTTCAACCTCAGTGGTAGGTCATTCAGTTCTCAACCTCATTGGCGGTCATTCGGTTCTTGACATCAGTGACATTGGGTCATTCGGTGTTTGACCTCAATGGTAGGTCATTCGGTTTTTGACCTCATCGATAAGTCATTCGATTTTCGACCTCAGCAGTGGGTCATTCGGTTTTTGACCTCAGTGGTAGGTCACTCGGTTCTTGACCTCATCGGCAGTCATTCGGTTCTCAACCTCAATGGCGTCGGGTCATTCAGTTTTTGACCTTAGTGATAGATCATTCAGTTTTGGACCTTATCGACAAGTCATTCAGTTTTCGACCTCAACAGCGGGTCATTCAGTTTTTGACCTCAGTGAAAGGTCACTATGTTTTCGACCTTAGTGGAAGATCACTTTGTTTTCGACCTCAGTGGAAGGTCACTCGATTTTTTACCTGAAGGTGGCGTCAGGGCATTCGGTTTCCGACCTCAGTGGTGGGTCATTCAGTTTTCTACCCCATTTGCAGGTTATTCGGTATTCGACCTCATCGTCAGGTCATTCGATTCTTGACCTCAGTCGCGTCGGGTCATTCACTTTTCTACACCGTTGGCAGGTTATTCGGTATTCGACCTCATTGTCAAGTCATTTGGTTCTCGACCTCACTGGCATCGGGTCAGTTGTTATTCGACTTCAGTGGTAGGTCATTCGGTGGTCACTCAAGATATTTGGTGTTCATTTGGTGGTCATTACATTCATTTAATGGTTACCATTATTTAGAAGTCATGCATATCATGCGATGTTCATTTGGTGACTATTCGGTGGTTGAGGATTTATTCAACTTATAACCACAACGGTAGATTGACAGAACAACCAAAGGACGCATTCACTCTTAGATCGAGTTATGCTCACTCGACCGGGGGAGGGGGGGGGACTAAATGATATGAGATATTTTACTAGACCGATTTTAATAGATTAAAAATAATATATTGGAGAATAAACCTACATATGGGCTAGGACACATGTCATAATGGTATTGCTGAAGCCCAACTTAGGCACTAAGGTACACTTCCCCTATAAAAGGGGCCTAAGGTATTCTAAAAGATACATTCTCTCTACATTCATTACTATATTCTCATATTGCACTCCTTATCTCTGGCGATTGGTGACTTAGGCATCAGAGGCTCGATGTCGGGACCCCTCCCGGCGTTGATTTCTTGCAGGTACGGAGGCCGTCCCAGTTGAAGGAACCCGGGTGAAGTCCATTTCACTACCATACTGAGATTTTAATTTTCAGTATTGTGTAAGTACTATGTTTCGATTTTTGTTAAGTAAAACTTTGCATCAGTACGTAATTAACACTAATAATCGCCCTTATTTATGAATCCCGAATGCGCTACGTCAAAGTGGTAGACTCGTATGCTTCGTAAGACTATTTGGTGTAAATTTGTGATTCGCATTGACAAATATACTGGTTTGGTTTTGACTATTACACTTGAGAATTACCAAAACTGTTTTAGAATTCATTTTTTCTCAAGTTCCCATATACTACCCTTAAATATTATTATTTAGTTCGTATATTAATCGTTATAAACATGTATTCTTTTTATTTCTAAACCTTTATAATATTTTTATTTATATTTTTTTTTGTATAAAACATATCAAAATAATTATATTTTGACAATCTTTAATTTGACATCCACATCGCATATATAAAATAAAAATAATTTTATCTATCTTTGTAAAAAACTAATTTTATTATCAAATCAATTTAAGAATATCAAATAACAATATTTTTATAAAAATAATAAACATCTAATTCATAAATACACCATAAAATAATTATGTTAATGTGTTTTTTTTTTTTGTTTCATAGATTATGGATAAAATATAGAAATAAGTTTACATAAAACAAATTTAAGAACTAATATAAAGAAACATCATTTCTTGATTTAAATAGATTATATATGGAAATGAATGTATTATGGTGTTTAAAATAATAAATATAAAGAAACAATATAATTAAATGTAATAAAATATTTCTATATTTAATAAAGTTTAAAAATAATACCCCCTGCATAAATTAACATTCTATATTAACTCATATAAATTTGAAATACTTAAAAATCTATCTATCTATATCTATCTATATATATATAAAGAGGGAGTTGATGGAATTGATGTTACTAATGATAGCAGTAAATGCTTCTTTTGGAAATGGTATCAACAATATTTTTGGAAATAAATATATAATTAGTATGTTTGCCTTTTAGATTTAATAAATCATTCATGATAATTAGTTAACAATTTAATATGTAATAAGTATTTTCTATGACTTGATTTTTAGAAATAAATTTATAATTAGTATGTCTGCCCTTTTGATTTACTAAATCATTCATGATAATTAGTTCTCAATTTAATATATAATAAGTATTTTCTGACTTAAAAGACGATATTAATTAATTACTGACATATTTAGTGATTGAATTAAATGATATAATACATATTAGTGTCTATACATAATATAAATATCATGAAAATTGGTGCCTACGCATAAAATAATTATTATGAGACTTATGATTCAACCTGATTCAAATTTCAAGAAGTGCCTATGCATAATATAATTATTATGCCGTACACTATTATTCAGCCTGATTCAATTTTCAATTAGTGCCGCCTATGCGTAATATAATTATTATATTTGAAGTTTTTAAAAGCTATTAAATTGAGAATTTTAAGTAAACATTCTATATAAAAATAATCATAAATTTTAGTTTCAATTTTTCTAAAAATAAAAAATCAATATAATTATGAGAATCATTCAGTATGAAAATGTAAAAAATAAAATTTAATATGACTTTTCACCATATATTTAATAATATATATATATATATATAGATATATATATGTACCATCTATATCTATATAATGGACCAATCCTTATTGTTATAATTGACATAATTTTAGGCGGGAAATTTTTTCGTCTATATTTGAAATTTAATTAAAATTTATTTATTAGCAAATCTTATGCATGAAAAACATGTTATTTTTTATACACTCAGTGACTACTACTCAGTAACTACAAATTGTATTAAATTTAAATTTTGACCGTAGTTTTATTAGATATATTTTTAATGAGATATTATATTAATTTAATAGTAATTTATTGACACAATTCAAAAAATTATTATGGAAATTGATTTGATTAAATATATTATCATCTATGGTTGTAGAAACTAATTTAGTTAATTATATTTACTATCAGAAGCACTTAAAAAATGTAATAAAATAATCAAAATAACTATGTTTAAATCACACTAACTTAATAAATAATTTAAAATATTAATAAAGGTTTATAAAATATAGTCAATTTAGTTATAAAAAGGTACATCCCTATTGAATACATTATATGCAGTGATAATAGTATTAAAAATTTAAATAATATACTAATACAGATAAAATTTAATTGTGGGGTGCAACTTAGAATTCTAAATTTCACATTTGAAATATCTATGCACAGTAAAAAAAAGCTATTTAATTTTTTAAAAATATATAAGTTTTCTTTTATACTATTTTAAAAATATCTATATCTATATCTATATCTATATCATTATCTATATCTATATAATGGACCAATCTTTATTATTATAATTGACATAGTTTTAGGCGGAAAAATATTTTCATTTATATTTAGCATATACTTAGCCTTTATCTATTAGCAAATTTTATACATGAACATTAATTATTTTTTGTTTACTCATTGACTACTATTCATCAATTGAGTTAAATATAATATTGATTGATGACATATATTTTCAATAAGACCTAATATTAATTTCGTAGTAATTTTTAACACAATTAAAAACACTATTCAAATTTTGAAATATTGATTTGATTAACTATATTATTATCTCATGGATGTAGATTTTAACTTTATTAAGTATAATAACCTATCTAAACATGGCCACGGGCCGAACCGGCCCGGACCCGGCCCGAACCTGGCCCGAACCCGGACCGGCCCGAACCGGACCCGGACCGGAAAAGCCGGTTTTCGAACCGGAACCGGACATCTAGAGGGCCGGTCCCGGGCCTCTTCGGTAAAAAAAAAAACCCGGCGGGCCGGGCCGGGTACGGTCCGGGTTCCGGGTTTTTGAGCCAACGAGGAAAAAGAAGAAGAATATGTGGGGCCCGGCCCGGAACCGACTCGACCCGCCGGGTTTGCGACCCGGCGGTTAAGGGCCAGTTCAGTGAACCGGCCCTTAGTTACAAGCGGGTCGGGCCCGGTTCACTACACGGTGAACCGCCGACCCGGCAGGCCGGGCCGGGTTTCGACCCGGCCCGACAAATGGACACGTCTAAACCTATCAGAAGTACTTAAAATATCTAACAAATAATCAGAATAATTGTGTTTGAATCATATTAACTTAATGAATAATTTATAGTAATAACAAAATTTGCTAAAGTATAGTCAACATAACCATTAAAAAGTTTATGTTCATTGAATATATTATTTTATTAGATATACTATTGAAAATCAAATTTAATATATTAATAAAATTATTATTTGATGGTCGAGTGAAATTAAGAATTATAAACATTGGAAATATATGCATACATAAAAAAAAAAGATTAGGTTCTAAAAAGCATATTCTTATTATATACTATTTAATAAAGAAAAATGAGTAAATAGGATAATATATATAGTCAAATATCATAATTAAAAATTATAGCATTTGATAATAATTGAAATATATAATTTATCTAAACATTTAAATTAGATATTAATAAACTCATTATATATGTTGAATATATTTAGTAAATATATAAATATATACGAAAAAATTTAAAATAAAAATAAATAGTTTACTATGAAAAAAAATGTGTTGCATAAGCGATTAAAGTTACTACAATTTAAATTTAATTATCAAACAATTATTATTTCATGCATCTAAAATTAGAATAACGTAAAATAAATTTTACGGTTAAAACATTAGTTAGCTATCGAGCATATGCAAAATATGATTTGTTCAAAAAGTTATAAAATTAAGATAATCAGTAATTTTACAAGTATTTGTAAGCCATTAATTGTATACAAACATCATATTTAATATCTAGATATCGATACTATTTTATAAAATTATAAATAGTAAGATTTATATATTAAATAGTCAAAACCTGTAAAATAAATTATAAAAGATATCCAAACAAAATTTATATTTATTAATGACTTGATATATTGAGTCTGGTACAATTATCATGTTGTATTAAATAAATTAACAATATTTTAATAATAAAATATTAATCTATAGTATACCCCGTACATCGCACGGGTATCAATACTAGTTTAATAAAAAAAGAACCAACGACGCTATGAATATAAAATATAATTACAACACAATAAAACTTGTTTTAAAAATACTTTGAATAAAATATATGGTATTTTAAAAAGTATTTAATTGAGTCATATACAATTTTGAAATTATAATTAACAAAATATTATGTTGACAACCTTAGTGTAAAAACACGGGCATGGTTTTGAATTAATTATCACTAGTTATTTATTCTTTTTGTATATTTATCATATAATTTAATAATAAAGTATAAATTATTTTAATTTTTTTATTGCATAAATATTAATATATTTACTTCCATGCAGTACACTTCCATTATACTAGCTATAAATAATGTAATATAATTATATTACTTTTTATATGTATTTATGGTAAATATACTAAACGTTTAGATTGAATAAAAATAAAAAGTGGAGTTATAGTTATAAAATATTAATAAAAATATAAGAATATAATATTAATCAAAAGTAAGTGAAAATACGTGTGAACCATACAATTTATGCGATTTATTGTTATAGAAGTTTATATATAAGTGTTGAATTAATAATGAAATTTTGAATGATATAATAACATTCGAAAAATGTAAAAATAAGTATATGGGGAGCGGGAGGAATTGTTAAAGATGTTCTCTGCCTGTCATCTACGAAACCAATTTCAAACGCAATTTGCCAAGTCATCAATCCGCATGCCTTCACACGTCATCGATCCTGAGCGCAATTACTTTAAGTTAACAACAACCCTTGATTAATATACAGCAATCAACGGTTCTGATACATTCTCATCCAGCAAAAAGAATTTTTTCGCAGACCGATCTTCAATATAAATATGCCCTTCACGCGTCCGCCATTTTCACCTCCAATTTCTTTCATATCGCGATATTCTTACTTTATTCGTCCAAATTAAGCCACCACCAGAAGTAAAAAAAGCCCTAGAAATGGCTCGCACGAAGCAAACAGCACGCAAGTCCACCGGCGGCAAGGCGCCGCGCAAGCAGTTGGCCACCAAAGCCGCCAGGAAATCGGCTCCGGCCACCGGCGGAGTGAAGAAGCCCCACCGCTTCCGGCCCGGCACCGTAGCCCTCCGTGAGATCCGGAAGTACCAGAAGTCCACGGAGCTCTTGATCCGTAAGCTGCCTTTCCAGCGGCTCGTTCGCGAGATTGCGCAGGATTTCAAGACGGATCTGAGGTTCCAGAGCTCCGCCGTGGCGGCGCTTCAGGAGGCGGCGGAGGCTTACCTCGTCGGCCTGTTTGAAGACACCAACCTCTGCGCGATTCATGCCAAGAGGGTCACGATTATGCCCAAGGATATCCAGCTTGCCAGGAGGATTAGGGGTGAGAGGGCTTAATTGTAATTTTCTGTTGCTGGTGGTTTTGTGATGGTTTGTTTGAAGATGGGTTTTAATGTTGAATGTGAAGTTTGTGTCCAAGAAAAAATGTTGAATGTGAAGTGGTAATTCTGTTAGTTCGTCTGTGTGATTCGATAACTCAATTGCAAGTATCATTAAATTTACGAAAATTGGATAATTATATTAACTTAATCTCCAAATGTGATCATTTATGTAAATTGCTGTAGAATGAATGTAAGATGAACAATTAATTGTAAGCAACCTTTTGGTGGAACTCTAACCTTAATGTAGAGTTGAAATTTGTAATCGTTAGATATGATTACTAAACAAAGAACAATGTTGTCTAAAAGAATTAAAAAACAATGTCGTTTGAACTTTGAAAATTAATGATTTTCAGTAACGAGATGGATAAATCTTGATGAAATGGTTCCGTTTGAAAATTAATGATGGAATGGTTTTGTTTGAAAATTAATGAACAAACTCCGACGGAATGGTTATGTAACGAAATCGTTCTATCTGAAAATTAATAATTAATGAACAATGTCGTTTGAAACGAAATGGTTCTATCTGAAAATTAATGAACAATGTCGTCTGAAATTAATGATCAAACCCCGATGAAATGGTTTCGTAACGAGATCTTAACATGTCCCTAATATATAACTTGGTTTATTCGATTTTGCATTTGCTAGTTCCAAATTGATGAACAAAGTCATGAAAAATTTAATTACAAAATTGAAAGATTGAAAACAAAGAGGGAAATCGTTTCAAGATAATTGATCCACTATCACAAATGTTTTACAACATTTTTTTTTTTTTCATCACTACTAAGGAGAGCATCTACCATTTTCCTTATATTTTTCTTTTTATTTTTGGAAATTAATATAAAGAGTGACTATTAGCAACCTATTAAACAGGGGGAGCTCTGTAGTAGGCAGGAAGAGTGGCAGGGAAGAACATCTGTCTAACTCCCTCAGCTTTTATAATCGGGAAAATGATTCCAGATGCACCCTGTAATGCAGAAATAAAAGAATAAAAAACATAATTAAAAATGGCACATGAATACCATGCTAACAACATATTCGAACGAGAAATAGACTTACCGAGAGCAACCTGGCTCCCAACAATACCCTTTTAGGCGAAGGAAAGGGGAGCAACAACCGACCAACTCCATAAATAGCCACAGCAAAGAAATGGAGAAAGAGGCTTAAAGGACGTGGGTTTAGCCCAGAAAGTATAGCAATGGGCCCATTAGAGCAGACACCTCCAAGGCTCAGATAGTCGAAACAAGCTTCACGCATTTCCTTCCTGGCCGGATCAGGTGATGCGAAGAACACCTTGTAAAGTGCTCCGGCCAATGTGTTGATTGTTGATGCCACAGGCTGCATAAGTGAATAATCTGAATTCACATGTTTGTTCTAAAATGTGACATAAGTACTTGTTTTTGTTTGAAAAAAATTCAATCTGAAAATAGAATCAGAAAGCTTAAGCAGCATTACTTTTACTTTTCTTGATTCCGATTAGATTATGTAGAATCAGAAGTATAATAAAACCTATATAACTCACCTTTCTGAGAGTATAGAAGGATTCGAGATACTTGCAAAGAGTGTACGCGTCATTTATATCAGGTATAGGTCTGAGAAGATCACGAAGGATGACAATATCCGAAAGGGCCACAGTCATTCCTCCGCCGGTCAACGGATGGCGCATGTTGAAAGCATCGCCCATCAAAATTGCACCGGGAGTCGACTGAGGATTTGCTGGCATGCTCCTATTGGGCATGGTCTTTATGTTTCCTTTTTCAATAGCAGCAATAAATGCATCATGCAGCTCGGGTGGAACCTGAAGAGCCAACATTCTTTTTTTGTATCTGCATATTGTGCAAATCTAATGAAATAAGACAAAGATTTGAGCCCTTTTGCAAAATTGAGGTACCTGAGGAGCCACCACAGTCTTCAAATAATTAGCCATTTCACCATTGGCTATGGAGGGAACCTTCTGTCCAGGAACATCAACCAAACAGCGTATTTCTGTACTGCTGATTGGATAAAATAATATAGGAGAAGGATCGGCCAAAATAACATGACCATGATTCGCGAATGGTAGCTCGCAATTTTCCAAGACCAAACCCACAAAGCAAGAGGGGATGTCCACCTGAAATCATGTAACAGACTATGAAACTTAACAATATATTTATTATAAAATAAACGTAAAAATGACATATATGTACTTTCATGACTTGTTACAAAATGGTATCTCAGAAGTATGGCACCACGTATACCTGAGGTTTACAGAGCGAGCGTCTTAGGTTCGAAAAGCAGCCATCACAAACAATTGTGAGTGGAGCATAAGCAGTAATGACTTCACCATTCTTTGTCTTGTATTGTACTCCTTTAACCGTTCCTTTTTCCTCAAGCAAGGATGTCACTGTTCCTTGTTCAAGTCTCACACTGAACCAGAAAAACAAAATGAAGTCGCGAATTTAAAGTTTTTCTTTTCTGGAGTAATAGGACATTAATTGGTTAATTTCATTATCAGCCTATTAGGTGGTTTTAGTCACATAACCCAGCTAAGTGGGACAAAAGATAACATTTGACTTTTAGTTAATAATCAAGCTCATGAAAATGCAAGAAACTACTGTGATGTTCAAACCTACCAACCTAACACAGTTAGATTTATCAACATGCATTATTTAATTTTGATAAATGGGAAAATAACAATGGTTTCAAGTAATTAAGTTTGTACTTTCGAAGAGTTTTAGCTTTCTCTCTCATCCTCTGTATGAAACGGCCATTGTGAAAGCTTCTTCCAGAAACGTCCGAGTGAAATTTCTCGAGGGGATACGATAACTTGGTGCTTTTACCGTCCTTGTAAAGGGCATAACCAAAAACTCGTTGAGCATCAATATCTCCCAGACAATCTGCAGCCATGTACAATTAATAACATTAGACCATACGCTTTTCACCACCTAACTCCACTACAAAGAATTCAATGGAATTTGGCAGAGCTAACTATATAGCAAGTTGGACTACTCCGTAGATGCAATAGCATCCAAATTTTTAACAGTAAATTTGAAGTTGACATAAAAATTACTTCGGCAGTAGTAGATATATACCTTCAAGACCTAACTCGATCAATTTTAAATAGCCTCCGGGCTGTAGAAGTTCGCCAACTATACGATCTGGCTCCGTCAAGTCTCTTTCAATTACATGAACTCGACGGCCCTCCTATGTAGAAAGAGAAAACTGAAGTTGACGATAACAAACTATAGTTTAACTTCTAAAGTCTAATTGAGGCCACAACACAACAAACCCAATTTTCTTAACTCTTTGATTAATGACCAGGATCTTGAAAGACTAGCAGAATTTGAAGATAGATAAAGAGTAAATGAGTGAAAAACTAGAAGGCAACTATAAAAATCTTTTGATTCATATATACCGATCCATCTCTATCCAGATCAATTTCTCACAGAAAAGAAAAGGTTAAGTTTGTGTTCAAGAACTTGATGCAATACAAGTCTGTATGAGTGGCTTGTTGATATACAATAATTGCAAGACCGACCGAGTAAATCCTTGAAATGCAGGATTATTTCCATTGTTACCTTTTGAATACGAAATGGAACTTGTCAAACAGACAACTATTTAGAACTGCATCTAAAGGCAGAGCTTATACAAAATCTCGCCGAAAATGTTATCTTTTACGTAGAAATCACCAGATTCATTTACACCACATCTTGCCAACTTGTTGTTCAGACCCATGTAACAATTACTCTCCTCATTTGCCTATTAAACACCCAAAATTTATCTCTTCACTCCATTTATAACAAGGAATACATCACTAACACACAGATTATTTAGAAAAAAGGCATCAATGAAATTAAAACTCTAATCTAACTACACTAGGCCATCGCCAAAGAAGCCATCCTCGTTGTCCCAGTATCTAAATTTCTTATCATGCATTAATCGGTCCGGTTGTAAAACAAAACACAGAACAAATCAAGTTAGAGGCGGTCACAAAATCACTTACCTTGCCAAGTGTACAAGCTAAAGCCGCCCCGGCAACCCCTGCGCCGACAATGATGATATCCACGTCATCGCCGCCGGAATCCTCCCGGAACCCGCCGCCGGCTGACCTAGCAAGGCCCTCATCCGCCACCACAGCCTTCGGACCTTTCGTTTTCCTCACGTTCCTTCGCAAATTGTAAAGCAACACAAATCCAAACAAAGAAGCAAGAAAACCCCCAAAAATGTATCGATCGATCGACACCATTTTCGACGAATTATACGTTTGTGATGATCGACAATAGTTTCGAGAATTCTCTTGCTTTTTGTTTTTTTTTTGATTTTTTTTTTTTTATTATTAATCGTGCGCGCTGGTTTATGTATGTGAGATTCGAGTTGGATTGGCGCCGCCTATAAATAGAAAAGGGAGATCAATTTCGCGTTCAACGGCTACACACGGTCAGCGTATGAGCACCAAAATAAATAAACAAATATTTTTTTAAATTTTGACCTAAATTGTAGTTATTATATTTTTTTTATCATGGTTTTATTTGGGATTAGCGTTTAGTGAATTACTTATACTAAAGACCGGGCAAAAATTAAAATTTGGCTAAAATCCATTTTTTTTTTTTTTTTTTTTTTTTTTTTTTTTTTTTTTATCTCTGACCACTTTTAAAATTGGTCCTTGTAATTTGACATTTTTTTCTCAATTTTGGCTCCATTTTATCCGTCCACTGGATAAAAAAAGTGACGTGGTGTGATGATGTGACATTTTTCTTAATCGGACGTGGAGTGTCGTGGCGGCTTCATGTGAATTTAATAATTCCAATTTCGCCAGCTGGAAAAAAAAATACATCTTCTTCCCTTTTAATACCAATAATAATAATTTCCAAATTTCGAGAGAGGTCGAGGTACAGAGCTCGAGCAGTTCGCCAGTGTTTGAGAAGAAGCTTATCAGCTCCTGGTCGATATACAACTGCTCAAGTTATTGCTCGTCAGAACCAAAACAAAAGCTGACAAGTTGCCCAAGTTTAGGGACAAATAGAGTCGAAACTGGTTGTGGTTGAGGAAAATCGCATCGAGGTCCTTATCGAAACCTCCGGCGGCACAGGGCCCTCAAACTCGTTGAACCGGAGATCCATGAACTTTGAGCGACGACTGCTTCAGTAGCACCTTCCAAAAACGAATTCGTTGTTGATCAGGTCGAACTCGAAAAGTAGCCGGAGCCTCGCGAAGGTTTTGGAGACGCCACCGCAAAATCTATTGGAATTGACGTGGAGTAAGGCCAAATTCGTGAGCAGGCCAAGCTCTGGCGGCAGAGAGCCGACGATGTTCACGCGGTTGAGGTCGATTCTGACGACCACCGCGAGAGATCAATTTGTCGACGAAGGAGCACATAAGACACTCTCAGTAATGTAGTTCTACGGGCAAAGTTCTTGGAGTTCTTCAATGCCTGAAGGGAAATATAAACCCACTGGAGTTTGGGGTTCGAAAATCAGTAGTTGCTCGGCACACGGACGCGCGTGGAGGAGTTGGGGATCTGAGAGGCTAGGAGGGAGAGAATAAGAGCTGAGAACATGAAGGGGTGTTCGGTGGTGCACCGCCACGAGTCGACGATGGAATTCATGGGAATTGGAGTGAGGAGCTTGTTTATGAAAACTTAATAAGTTCCAGGGATTACTTTGCAATTTCAAGAGTTTTAGTCAATTGTAATTAAGGGATGGGGTATATCTACGTCGATGGATTTAAAATCATACATTGACAAAAACCATGCAACCACATCACTTTAGATTAAAAATTATGCCACAACACTTTCTTATCTAGAGTGCCGATAAAAAGAGACCAAAGTTGAGAATGTCAAATTGTAGGACCAAGTTTGAAAGTGGTCAATATCGGGATGCAAAAGTGGTCTTTAGCCAAATTATATGACCAATTTTAAAATTTTTAACCTAAAGAGAGATAGTTGGTCATATTAGTTGCTTTTATTAATGTTAGTCTCTTAATGTTAGTCTGTTAACTACTATTTGGTGAATACTACTAGAGATAGTGAATTTGTGTTATAAAATAAATGAGATACGCTCTTGTGACTATGGTGCTCACGAAAAGAAATAAGTATAAATCTTAGCCATCCAATTGGATGATCCAACGGTAAAAGAAAGACAACATTTATATGTTCATCAAAGGTATTTTGGATATTTTCCATATCAACACGTGGCACCACAAGACCCACCAATCCCCAACCCATTGACCTATCACATAACTAAATGTGGGGCCCACCAAACTCACCATCCCTTCTCTCTCTCACACACACAGAGGGAGAGAGAGAAAGAGAGAGAAAGAAAGAGAGAGAGAGAGAGAGCGAGAAACCACACAGGACGTTCTTCCCTCCCCAATTCCATTGGCTTCTTTTTTAGTCTGACTTCTGTCGGGTGATGTATCTGCCCACAACCTTTTGACGGCGTCCCCTCCTACTATCTTGTCAGCAGCGTCATCGACCTCAGGATGTCATGGTGGTAAGGCGTCGCCAACAACGCCACTGTCCTCCTCATGCTCATCCTCACCAGTCACGTCCCCCACTCTCTGCCGCTACTACCATTGTATTTCTCCTCAGTCGTCCTGACCAAATTTACCGATGCACATTATCGTTGCCTCCGTCGTGAAAATCCCGCTACCACTACATTCGTCTTCCTCCTTAGTCGTCCATCCGAATCCCGCTGCCACTATCGTTATCTTCCTCCTCAGCCGCCCAATCCAAATCCATCGCTGCACACTCCTACAACTGCCGCTCCCCAAATCGCTGGATGATGTCCGACGAGGTGGCCATTCCGCCCTCCCTTCCGCCGTCTTCGGCCGTCCTTACGCCGCCATTTGCCGAGACTTGAAAACAGAAACAAGCGACACTAATTTCAGAAATTAGACATGGGAAAACCAAATTCAGAAATTAGGGATATATATATATATATATATATATATATATGTATTTTGTCTTTTTTGTAAATTCGATAAGTCCAAGGGACACATATGCGAATTAAGAAATTCCATTTATTTGTACTTTAGTTCATGGGTTAATATGTAAATTAATAAAAGTTGATAGTTGCAGAATGATATTCAGTGCAATACACGATATCACGATTGAATTTGCACATTAAAACACTGCACTACTGAATGCACAATAGTGTTAGACGAACTGTACATTAGCGTCTGCCAGATTATACATTAATGTATTAATATATTTTGTGTATATGTACATTAAAAATACATGCGCTGCAATTCACAGTAGTGAATTTTGATAAATGCACAATAATGTTAATTCAAATACACATTATTAAAAGTTTCTAAAATTTAAATGCACTTAAAAATACATGCGCTTTATACTACAAAATAATGGTAGAATAATTGAGCAAGATTGTCTATGAGAATACACATTACCGTAACATTATGTGCAATGACCACTTGAGAAAAATAAAAAGTATATTGTATGCTATTGTGCATTTTCACTTGAATTAATGTGCATTTTATTTGTCGCTGTTGTGCATTATGTAATGCGGTTAGGAGGGTACAAAGTTTGACCAAAACCGAAAAATCAATTGGACCCAACCCAAAATATTCCCACCAATTCGGATGACACAAGAGGCGGAATAACCAGCATCATGATCTCCCACCAAGCAAGATTGGTTTTTTATACATCGATTATGTTATTAGCTTTTACTTGTAAAACTTCAATTATTTCATTTTTATTTTTGTTTTTTTTTTTGAGATAACCAAAATAACCAAACCGATCAAACTATATAATAAATATTTTATATAATATATATATATATATACATGTATGTATTATTTATTACGCCAATAAATAATATAAAATATTAAATAAAAATATTAAATAAATAATAATATATTTAATAATAATATATTTCAGTTATTTTGGTTAACTCGATTAACCAACCGAATAAATCGATTATTTTGCTTTAGTTTTATTTTGATTTGGGACAAAAAATAGGGCAGTTAGGTTTTTCTAAAAGTTTGACTCGGTTATTTTGGTCGTTCGATTTGGTCATTGAACAACACTATGTTACGTAATGTTTTAACGTACATGTCCTTCAGCAATATTGTGCACCATATGTATCATTATTGTGCATTTATTGATTTTACATTACACTACAGATTTTCCTCATATATTAAAGTGCAAATACATTAAAAGTTAATAAGTTGCATATGTGCCCCTTGAACATATCTAATTTTCAGAACATGTCCCAGTCCTAAATATTTAACATCCCACAATAAACGGTTCAATGTCGCAGCTCATCGCCGTCGCTGAACACCGTCAGCACCGGCACCGACCACCGTGTAGCTGTTCATCACCACCACGTCAGACTCGCGACCTATGCCAGATCATACTACGACAATTTGGAACCTCATCGTCCACCGCATCCTTGCGTTAGTCCCTCAGACTGTCCAATCACGGCTCCCGGTAGTAGATCATTATTGTCGTGTTCCGTTAGCTCAAAGACACGAACCACGAGTTCCTCATATAGACATCAGCGACGAAGCAGTGCCGAAGATGAGATCCACATGCTAAACAACGACGCAATTCATTCTGCTCGCAGGATATCTGATCCTAAATATGGTGAGGGCAAGGGCATGGAGATTTTGGGGATTTTTCATCAGCCCCAAGTTTTCTGGTTGCCTATGAATTTTGGGGATCGTTGCCCCCATATTTGGAGCCATTTCCAACGCTACTAGAGAGCTCCAATGGCAGTTGAGATGGGGTTGGGGTCGGAGATGGGATGGGTGGCGACGGTGGGGGATGGCTGATGACTGTGGTGGAGGAGGACAAAGGTGGAAGACCAATCTGGGAGAGGAGAAAAGGGAAAGAGAGAAAATAGAGCGTTGGTGGGTGGGGTGGGGTGGGGTGGGGTGAGGCCCACTTGTGGTTGGATGATTGGGTGATTGCGTAATGTCCAATTTACCCTCATTATGATTATTGCCCCTAAATTTAGAGCGATTTCCGACGCTAGTAGAGAGCTCTTGTGGCTGAGATGGGGTTGTGTTGGAGGTGTGGTGGGTGGCGGCGATGGGGGACGACTGATGGCTGTGGTGGAGGAGGGCAGAGGTGGAAGACCAATTTGGGAGAGGGAAAGAGGGAAAGAGAGAAAGTGGAGCGTTAGTGGGTGGGGTGGGTGGGGCCCACTTGTGAGTGAATGATTGGGTGATTGTGTAATGTATAATTTGTCCTTATTAAGTGGTCAAATATTTATTGCCTCCTCATGTTTGTGTGTCATATACTAAAATTTGACTTTGGAATGACCATTGATATGATAGATTCAATGATACACAATTATTTTGATTTCTTTCGTTATCCTTCATTTTCATTTGAACCTACTTCTAAAATAAATTATAGCAACATTATATAATGAAGTAGTGCTCCCCTACCCACGGTGGGCACATGTTAATATGCCCACCGCATAGGTGGCATGCACTCATTGGTGATGTATTTTTTTAAACATATTAACATCACCAATGAGTGCATGCCACCTACACGGTGGACATATTAACATTTGCCCACCGTGGGTAGGTGAGCATTTCTCTTATATAATGTTGTTGTTAGATTTGTTTATTAAATTCTAGATCTTTATAATGGGTTTACCGTCAATAGTTATGAACATATCAACAACAATTAATGAAAAATTGTTCGCTGTACAATGTTTAAGTCGTTTTAATATCCAAAAATAAATGAATACTAGTACAACACCCGTGTATTACACGGGTGCTTGCTAATTTTTTTTTCTTAAAATCTAAAATTAATGAGGAAAAGTAGTTTGAAAATTTAAATACCTTTTATAAGAATATATATATTATTATATATTTATTATGACACCTTTTATTTGTGCAACTTACTTGTGTTATATTATACTATTTTTTTTAACTTACAATATATAACTACATTACATATAAATATATCAATTGAGAAATAATTTTATTTTTTTAATGAATTTTAATAAATATTATTATTTTTTATTATTATAAAGATAAATATAATTTATTTATTTCATATATACAATATGGATGTCAAATCGAAGATCATCAAAAGATGATTAATTTGGTATATTATATATGTAAAGCCGATAAGAAATCCAAAAGTTATTAACTTTTAAAATACATTTATAATTCAATAGTTATTGAAAGAAACAAATCAAAATTCAAGGATATATTAGTCACTTAGTGCCCCACTATGTAAAATTACAAAGAATTAAAGGGTTACATTAATAAAAGTGATATTAAAATACCTAAGTTAGCTAAATAATATTTATGGAATACCCGAACCTAGATTATTAATTATTAATATATCAATA